ATCAGCATTTCAACTCAATTGTTATGACGTATGTCACATATCAAAAGGCCACGGCACCAAGTATCTTTTCCCCGTTAGCAGGTTCAAATCTTACTATTCCATCTTACAAGGGAACGATACTCGGATCCGTGGCCTTTTAAGATGAGATGTGTGCCATAATTGCCTTGGAGCGCTGATTCCAAATCTGGACTCCGTTTTTGCTAATCGTGTGCAGCCTATGCACTATATCCCACATTTAATGCACTTACTAATCATGTGTTTTTTCCGTCATTATCCAACGAGCGGGTATAAATAGAAGGGCGGAGGGTCTCGGGCGGGCAGTCACTGCGCCCTATGCTGGGCCGCGGCTGGAGATGTGGAATGCAGCTCGCTCCTGGGTTTTAGCTCCTTACATTGTCTAGCCATGCCACTGCTTATTGTCCTGTTTTATCGTGCTTTCATTTTTTTCATGCTTGATCCTGAGCCGGTTCATTTCAATAGATGTAGTTAATAATGATTATGATTTTCAAGGTCGAGGTTCGCTTTGGAAAAGTAAGAAAAGACAGAACTCGCATAATTTCCCGATCCTTACAATCGTTTTTTTTTGAAGAAAGTTATGAAGGATTTTAGCAATAAAGAAAATATGGTCGGAATGCCAATACCGTCGCTACGATGTGGAGTGGCTAGTGCGATAGTGTCACAACTTAATGCAGGTTTAGATTTAGCGAAATGATCAGCAGAAACGTGAGATTCGAAATTAGCGTTCCAAGACGAGTGTGACGGTACCCTTTGATTTAGCCGGATTGGCTGTTGGAAGGCGGGGCTTCGTGACCTAATTGAGGCTAGGTAATGATCAGAGAGCACTCGTGGGAGAGAGACGCAGGTGCGTCGAGGGCGCGAGCGGCCTCAGTTAGATCACAAAACCTCGCACTAACGGAGCCAAGCCAGTTGAATCAAAGGTTATACGTTTTATCTCAGAAGGACGCGGACACCGACTAGCTTCTCATGTTAGACTCAGCTTTCTATTAAATCACAGAAAAATGATATGACCAGAGGCCGTATTCATCATTGAACCTAAGGTAAATTCTACCTTGAGGTAAATTTTACCTTAAGGTAAATTGTACCTTGAGCGATTCGTATTCATCAATGTACCTTGAGGTAAATTCTATATTTGCCAGTCTGCTATACAGTGACGTTTATTCCGACCACGCTGTGAGGTCTAAGCGGTGCATCATGTTTTTTTATTGCCAACAGAACTTTTGCTAGGACAAAATTTGTTGCTAATTGTGTCCTTCGGGCCCGATATCACATGTTTTGACAGGGAGACGGTTCGAAGTACCCTTACTTGACCACGATAAATTGAGAATGTCTCAGTTCATAAAAGATCAAAGGGAATTTGTGGCCATTTTCTTTGTTCAAACTACATATTTTGACAAAACATGAGTTCGCACCTCATTTTCGAAACTTATAAGCGGAGGATAGCAAGTTGCAGTGGCTTCGAAGAAATATGTACAGGGTATCGCAAAATCTTTCAGCCTAACTTTGCAACAGTGTAACTTTGTTGAATCCTTTGCATTCGAACCAAGTTTGCAAGTGGGTTTGCCGTAAAGATGACATTACTGCAAAAAAATTGGTATTCCCATCATGCACAAAACACCGGTTTCTCTTCATTAAAGAATTGTAGAATTAAAACATAAATTCTTGGAATGTTCCTGTCACTGGGAAGGGAAAACTTTACGGATGCGAAAGCCCGAAAAAGCTGAAATGTAATCCATCACTTTAAGTGGCAGATTTTGGTTATGAGATTGCATTTTTTACCAAAACACCGTTGGATAATCACGCCGGTCACATTGTAATCACTGTTTTTTATTGTGCTCAAAAAATTTATATAAGTTTAGTTTTTGAGTTTGAAAGGTTCTTACCCTGTTTGGTTTTGCATTATTTACCTGATACTTGGGCATTTCAAAGTCTGAAACGATGATTGTTTCGTTAAAAAAATAAAAAGAGATTGACCGTGCCGATAACCTTGAGCTTGCAGCAGTGATTTTTCAGGAGCTTGTGGCTGGCGCGTGGGACTTTTGCCCGCTTTTGATGCTTTTCGGCGCTTTTGGACAATTCGGAGTTCTTTTCGGCAAATTTGGCCATCCTTTAGAAAAAGAACTGATTTTATTGAACACATCCTCCCCTGCTTCGAACTAGAATGATGTATGAGAATGAACTTCACTGCAATGCAACTCACCTTGAGATGTATTAGGTTGGCACACAAGTTTTGCAACTTTTCCCGTAACTTTTTTCCTATTTTATGTAGCAATCTCATTTTGTTGCATCATGTAGATCGTGATATAAGCTGCAATTCTGCTCAAACCGTTTGATTTTTGATAACGTAGTAAAAAAAAATCTAAGCATTTTTTGAAAACTACTAAAAATCGAGGTTTCACGATTTTTTGGCAAACATGAAGCCTCACGAAACCTGATTCAAACATAAGAAAAAGCAATTATAGGCTGCATGTAGCTGGAAGTTGGCACATTGGAATCAGTGAAAAAGAAATGAAATTTAAACACAAATTAAGGTGGAGCGCCTTTGAGAAGTTGAACAAGTCAAATGCGTCAAGTTTTGAAGGCAATTTGTCAATAACTAAGCTGCGAAAAGTCAGAATTCGCTATAACTTTGCACTATAGGGTAATCCTATGCGGTAAACACGAATATCATAATCGTTTGTCGCTAAATTGAAATTCATCTTTTGATCTCACGAACGAGGCCTTTTCATGCGAAACGGATCTCATTTTTGTGATCAGCATGTCAAATAAGCCCTATAGGCCAAGTTTCAGCAAAATCTAATGCATTCTAAAATTTTTCCCATAGTACCGTAAACCTACCGTAAATCTCACATAAGGTGGTAAAATTGAGCAAAAATGTGTGCATTAGAAGCTTACATCATATTCCTTATACTGCCAAAAAATGAATGCGCTACGTTCAAATAGACAAATATTAAATAAAAAGCTGCATTACTTATGTGCCAACCTAATACCTCAAGGTAGAATTTACCTCAAGGTATAATTTTCGTATTCATCAAAGTTTTTCTCTGAAGGTTAGATTTACTTGTGCCAGCATGATAAGGACTGACGTATATCAGAGGCATGGCATGAGTACTTGCGATGAATTGCTTTTTATGTATCCGCATGATATTTGCACAAGGAACTTCTTGCCTTTAGGGTTCAAAACGCTGCAGTTACTGATTTCGAAACGGTTTTGTCTACTTGGTCGACATCTTAGGCTCTAAGAGTTTTAATCTGACGAATTAATTGTTTTCACGTTTTATTTTAGATCCGTAGCATTCATTCTCCAATAATAAAGTCTGCCTGTCTGAGAATGTTTTTCCTTGTTCAGTCGCCTAGCATCGTGACATTTGGTTGATTTTTAACATATTATTTTGATTTCTCAGCCAAGGTCGGGAAACTTTTACCTGCTTTTTGATGATGCAACATCGATTCTGGGGACGCGCAAGAGTTTAATTATCTTCGCCTCATACTTTGGCATCTCTCCCCTTTATTTGAATTGATATTTGAAAAATCCTCGTATAGCTTTTTATACCAAACATAAGCTTGTGATGGCAGGTTAAGCTAAAACATACCATTTTTCTGCTTTCAGAATAAACTTCCTGGTATTACATGCTGTTTAAGCTCATATGTATGTTGATAGAAAAGGAAGAGTAAATTGCCAAGAATTTGGTGAGCCAGCAACAGTTATTTGATTTTTGCATTCAAAGGCCAACTCTTTCGTCGCGCTGAAGACCTCGCCCGATTTTATCTTAGGCAACAAAATTTAGTATCTGAAATACAAGATTAGCGTTTAAGAAGTATCAATATCGACGATTAGCCGCTTTGAACATCAGCGTATTTCTTTTATACAGATTTGAAGACCGCGAACGAAGTGGTTCTGAATAGCAACTTCAACTTTGTGGTTTCAACAGTGCTACTGAGTTCATAATGCTGCGAAAGAGTATAAATGCTGTGTATGACTACCTTCAGCTCAACAGAATAAAAATTTCGGGCGTTTACTAAAATCCATGAAGTTTGTAAGAGGATAGACAGAAATTTTGTGCTAGGTTCGTTCAACCCCTAAAACTGTCATCGATTTCAACCAAATTTCGCAAAAATTGCTATAGTGACCTAAATTACTTTACTGGATTGATCATGCAAAAAACCAGCTTATAAAAGTCTATAGATCTCTAGAGGTATCCGTCTAACCTTGCCCCCAGCTAAGGTTAGAAGCTGCATTGAGAATTTATTTCAAGGTAAATGCAGTCCGTTTGATGAATACCGATTTTGAGTGATAACAGTGCCTTGAGGTAAAATTCACCTCAAGGTACTTTCTAATCAATACTAAACACCTTGAGGAATACGGGTATTTGCTGATAATGAGTGATAAAACCACCTGGAGGTAGAATTTACCCAAAGGTATCAATGATGAATACGGCCACAGAATACAGTCACACATGAGTTGCTGGGTCCATTCAGTATAAAAAGAACGTATATGTCAGTCTGCCTGTTTAGGTGAGTATGTGTGTATTTCCAAATGAAACCTTTGACCTAGCAGGACCAAACTTTGCACATATATTTTGCGGAAGAGCGGTTCTTATAGCCCCTCAATAAACTTCAGAACTGCACGCTCAAAACTGCATCAAAACTGCACTTTCCTCCGAAAAAACCTTTTTCGTTAAAAAACAAAGTAGGCGGTTTGCTACGCCGTTTCCTATATCGTCGTTGCGAATGGTCTTCCAAGGCTTAGTTGTCATTAGTCCACACAGTATGTTAAACTATGCGACCAAGCCTAGTAGTGGCGTTTTTGACAAAGCGAAAAGGCAGCGGTTTCAAAGAATTTATGTAAACTTTGCGATGCACCGTGCGGCGTGTTCAAAACGTGTCGTCTCACTACGAACTTTGGTGAATGCCTCAGAGCAGGTTTATGGTTTGGTTCAACTGGGCAGTAAGTTCCGCCCCTGTGCAAAGCATAAGCTCACCATGTCTGCGGGTTTTCTGGGATTGATGTGTAATTATACGAATCCCATAAGATATAGCAGCATGGTGTAAGCATAGGGATAGAGACAGCAATTCCAACAACATAACAAAGAAACAATAGAAAAAGGGTGTTTTCGCTAGAGAAAAGCAAGGCATAGTGCATCGGGTAATGAGTAGAAAGAAATCTGGAAGTTTAACGGTGTGTTAATAGCCAGTACACGTATTTCACACCTGTTGATTGCCATCAGACCAATGTGGACTACTTCAATATACCAAATGCATCCAGAAAGTGCTGTCATTATGATACTGTAGCTCGAGTCACCTTTGGAATATGTGTCGTGTAGTAGGGTAGCAGGAATCATAAAGCACATATTGTGCAGCGACATGCTGATCTCACAAATTGAGGATGAAATGATGATCCAATAGCTAAACGCTGATATAATCGATGGTAGCGTATGAAAAAAATTTTAACCTGGTGTATCTACGCATTGCGATGCTGCTGCTGATCAATGCAAAAAGCAGAAGGTTTGCTAAAGTGCAGTATAAAGAGAGTGTGAACCAAGCACTAGCAATGATGACATCCATAGTCTGTTGCTCCATGTGGTCGCCTCAAAAATAAAGACATTACCGTTTTATCGCATGCAATAACTCTATAATTCCGAGAAATCTTGAAGGTAAAAGAACAAATAAATCACGAACATGAAGTTTGAAGGGGTCTGCATTACCCCTGCAGAAAAACATAAAACTAATAACTAAACTATAAACTAACTCATGGCAATAACAAAAACAAAATTTCTAGCTGGAGTACAGTTTGCTTCAATCCCAATCACGCCAAAATTGGCATGGCGGGAGTCCTGCCGCGAGAGCATTGCATCACGTCTAAGGCTAGCTAGTCTGCGCTCTCCTTAATCTTTTCGCTTTGTGCGACAGCGCCGTATGTAGCGCAATAAAAGCGCACAAATTCAGTCGATTTGGCCTAATCCCGATCGAGACAGACTGTACCTAAAGAAAGGAAACCGCAACGACAGTTAACGTCTTTTTTCACCAATGCGCAAAATCTTGGAACAGAAGTTTTATAAATCAACTCAAGCATTTTTTGTACGCTATCGTAATCTTCTAAGGTACGGTAGTTAACCTGATCTACTCACTAAAGCTGAACGTCTGTTGCAATGTTGCAGTCCTCACACAATATACTCAACGAAACGGGTCCGAAAAACAAGACAGAGCATTAATTTGGGAGCTTGCTTTGTGGAGTTAAGTATATATCTGGGCATAAGTTTGGTAATGTGCCATGGGTCACTCCTTCGAAAATAACTTCCACTTGGAAAATGGAAGGCTGATTGCTAAAAATTTTTTGGAAAAGAGCAACTAGCTTCACTTTTTGATTCTGTTTCAAAGTGGAGTGAAAAGGTAAGGAAGGTGTGGAACATATATTGCATTTGCGAGATTCGTTCTGGCTACGAAGGACAGTTGGTCGAAATGGATTTTTAAATGTGTGTAAAAGATCTTACAAGGGGAAGATACTTGGTCGAAGTGGCTTATTCATATGAAATGAATACTTTCATATAGAGCATGGAACGCTGATTCTAAATCTGCTTTCGGTATCTGCAAAGCGCTTGTGGGAGTGGAGTTAGAATTTTTTAACCAAAAATTTGAATGCGCGACTACGATAAAACGATCCAGAATTCTAGTCTGTGAGTTTGGGGCTGTGATCACCGCCAGGACGCTTTTTGCAATTAATTCCTTCAGCGTAGTAGATTCATGCTAATCACCACTCCTTCCGAGAGCCGGAAATTTCTCGAAATCTGTTTTACCTTTGACCCTCAAAATTTAAACATATAAAAATCCCATAATTTTCCTCCGAGAAGCGCTTTGCAGATATCGAAAGCAGATTTGGAATTGGCGTTTCATGCTGTATAAGAAGGTATACATCTCATATGGAAAGGCCACTTTGACCAAGTATTCTTCCCTTGTTAGAAAGCTTGAAACTTGATTCCAAATCTGTTTTCGGTATTTGCGTAGCTCCCTGAGAGAGGACTTATGTTACGGAACGAAACTTTGTAGGAGCGGCTATTTGTTCTGATACAAATATCTAGCGAAAATGCGTATGTAGCACTTTTGCTTTGAACCAAACTTTTGCTTCGTATGTTGCAGCGAGAGTAAAGAAAATCTGAATTGCCAAGTTCTGACATAAGGGCAACTTGCGTCAAGGAACTTGTGCGTTAATTCATCTTTGACACACGCTATACTTTACCACTTTACGCTTTGGACCAAAACCTGGCACCATCCAAACACCACTGTTCTCAGATAAAGTGCATCAAGTGAATAAATACGAGCACACGGCCTAATGAACACAAATCTCTGGCGCAGACTTTCGGAATGCAAAAACCGCAGTAATCGCCTAGTTCAAAAGCGAGTGCGCAGGAATATGACCATTACATAGAGTCAGTGCCAGAATTTGAGGAACTCCAAGTTTTTTGGTTCTTATGCTCCAACAAGGCATTTTGCTTATTACATCAGTTGTGACCAACAAACTGAATGAATAGGAGAGCAGAAGTACCTCGTTGCTGCGTAAGTTCTGTCCAATTTGAATCTTTGAATTCAAAATGCCATAACTTCTTTTAAAGTCAGCAATTTCCTCTTGAATTGTATGTGTTGAGCAGTTCTTTGGCTATCAGAAAAAAATCAATGCGAAAACCCCTGTTGTCTCTGTTGAAGAGGAAGCATTAAGCGTCCTTATTCAGACCCTTTTTTGACATGGTAATGTTCCCTTATGAGAACAGACAGACATATTAGTCAACCATAGAAAGAGAAGATTTCGTAGAATACTTTGCAATCTGCAAGAACCCATAAAATCTTTGCTGTCAAGAGGTTTTTTTTGACGAAACAGAAAGAGCCGCTTTTTGACGTCGCTTCGGTACATATGTGCATGCCCATTCACGAGTAATAAAAATTTTACAGGTAACACGAACGATGAAAAGGAATTGGTAAGTGAACCCTGATAGCTCTTGCTTTACTCTAGCACCTCCAGCTTTGGACTCATCGATTGTCTTCATTCGCAGGATGTTATTGCTTGAAAAACATTTATACAAGAATTTTATGTTCACACCAAATTTTACTAGCAAGACGTTTTCTTCATTCCATTGAGCTTGTGCATACATGCCTCTTACACGTTATTCCGCATCCACTGAAAGGACTTGACTTGAAGGGCGCATTGTGGAGATTTCTTGCAAGAAAATGGCCCGTAGTAAACCCCCCATTAGGGCATCTCTCTCGACGCGGACCGGCGTTGATCTCATCACGCCTCAGTCTAGCATCCGGCGAGCCATTGATCTGGATGCGGATAGCTTCCGAGACATTACAGTCAAGTGCGTTCTTGAAAAAGGAACCACTTGAGCTGGTTTGGTTAAACGGGTAAGCGGTTGGAATTACACGTGTGCGGCCGTGGTTCGAGTCCGTAGCGCACTTCGACACACTTTTGATGCATCGCTGGGCAATTTATGATAGCGGCCACTACGTAATCGATGATGACCGCTATCAAGGATTTCGCCTAGCAAATGCACGGATAAAACAAAAACACAATTCGTGACGAAAATTTTTATGAAAAAACGAAATGGTTGCAGCGTAAATTTGATGAAATGAATAAATGAGTTCTTGTTTTGGACAGCTAGTGAAAAAAACCAGTAAGGTTTACAAAAAAGAGAAGAATTTGTTTTTTTGTTACCCTCGCCAAAATCAGCTGTTCATCGATCCTCTCCTTTTCGGGCGCAGTTGTGCAGTTTTGCGCCGATTTTGTCTGCATTTTCGGCCTGAATGATGTGTATCGTAAGTTACTCAAAAGCAACTTACGGGAGTCTTGTCTGCGTCTCCTCTTTTACTCACTATTTGCATCACTCTAACATCAGTTCACGTTCAGGTCACTTGAACGTGAACTGATGTGGAAGAGTTGACTGCAGCAGGTGGACAGATGGTCAACTATCAGTTTACTCGCCATTCTTATAGCATGGGAGGGTGGGCGGTCATCAGTTCACCTGACATGAGGTGAACTGATGGGATAAGTTCAGTTCACCTGAACTGATCGAGCTTTACTACGGGCCAATGTCTTTTAAGTGAGAGCGTATCTTCGCCGCCAGGGGAACTTAGGCCTGCAAACTCGTTAGACTGAAGAATTTATTGAAATTTGATATGTTTCAAAAAGAGGATGAAAAGCGCTTTCTAATGAGACGAACGGTAGCACGTTAGAGGTGAAGTCCTCTCAGAACAGCTGCTTCGAACATAAGGTAAAAAAGACGGACAGAACTTATGCAGCAGCCTAACACAATCTATTAGGGTGTCCCATAATTTTTTCCGTTTTTACTATGACCGTCGTCTCTTTGTATTTTGCCTTCAATTGATATAGCTTGAGTGATTTTTTCGACAGGGCAAAGGAAGCTCTGCAAGATGGCTATGAAGAGTCCGCCCAAATCGTATTTTACCAGATTTGAGCTGAAATCTGATGGCAGTCGAAAACGAAATTTTCCTTCAATAATTCCCGCCCAAAATGTCTTGAAAATTCCCCATTTATCCTAGCGTAAGCTTGGCTTAAGCACATTCAAATGTACTATTTCTGCATTTTTTCCATGGCTAGAAAAAAAGAAAAAATGAATGAGGTATGTCAAACTCCGCTCCTAGACATCGTGAGCTCTTTTCACGCACGTGGTCATATAGCTCATACATATAGAAGTACGACTAAGTATTTGTAAGCTTTGAAGACGCCCCAGTTCTCGAGAAATGCTGATAGAGTGGTTGTATGTAAATTTTGCATATAAGTATCAGAAGAACAGCTCACAAAGAAATGGTCGGAAGTCGAAGCGGTTGTTTCGAACAAGCTGCAAACCACTGCCACTTCGGGTTCTGGACATTTCCTGTCAGCACGGAACCGCTTATTGTACAAAGGCACAATAGGATAGTGTTAAGCAGAAGAAAAAACACTGGCTAGCGCTTTGTAACAATAATAAGATAATTATTTATTTAACACAATCTGGTTCACGTTTGTATTGCAGCATTCGCAGTAAACACTACAAACACATCGAATGCTATTGTTATTGCCAGTGATTGATGTCTGCTTGGTAATTAACAGTAAGTGACTCAAGAAACAGAATGAGGAATAAAGCCTGAGACAAATTTCTTCGATGTCAGCTTCGAAAGGAAAAATCTCTTTAGACAGCCTTACTTAAATCAAAAGGGGTCTGGAGACGAAGTGGCCGTTGTGAGTCGGTAATTAAGAAGTCGCGCATTTCCCTATCAAAAAAATCTAGGACCATCACATTATTATATTCTAACCGACTGCCCACCGATATCCAGTGATGATAGATGTTCAAACAAAAACACCGACGTTTTCTGCAAA